TTAATATGAGCACAAACAGTTATGCCTGCTGGAATTGTGATAGTTCTTTGGCATTGCTTTCCTTTACTTCATCCTTGACATCCTCTGTTACATTATTTTTTATGTTATTTGAGAAACTGTGGTCCAAAACACACTGCAGAAAGAATACAGTTTGAGATCACTTTAATTGCCCTGGCTCAGTGCTAGGGAATTCTGGGAATTGTAGTTTATTGTGGCACCAGAGCTCTCTGACAGAGAAGGCTAACTGCCTCACAAAACTACAATTCCCAGTATTCCATAGCATTGAGTTAGGGCAGTTAAAGCGGTCTCAAAGTGGATTCTTTCTGAAGTGTGTTCTGGACCATATTTGAGGTAATTATCACCCCGGGGTATTATTGCTTATATATGAGGTAACTGCTTTATTATTATTATATTTATTTATATCCCGCCCTTCTTCCAAGACTGGGACTCAGGACAGCTTACACGACATTAAAAACAGTACAACTAAAAGCATACAAAAATAGTATGTAGAGAGATCTTGTAGCACCTTTGAGACTAAGGGCCTGTACAGAATGTCAGAAGTAATCCATCTTGAGACCACTTTAACTGTCCTGGCTCAGTGCTATGGAATCATGGGCATTGTAGTTTTTTCTGAGACATTGAGCCTTCTCTGTCAGAGAGCTCTGGTGCCACAATAAACTACAGTTCCCATGATTCCCTAGCTCTGAGCCAAGGCAGTTAAAGTGGCCTCAAGCTGGATTATTTCTGGCAGTCTGTACAGGCTCTAACTGAAAGAAAGAAGTTGGAAGCATGAGCTTTCATAGACTTCTGTCTACTTCCCCAAATGCATCTGAGGAAGTAGACTGAAGTCTATGAAAGCTCATGCTGCTCTGTCAGAGAGCTCTGGTGCCATGATAAACTACAGTTCCCATGATTCCCTAGCACTGAGTCAGGGCAGTTAAAGTGGACTCAATCTGCACTATTTCTAGCAGTCTGCAAAGGCCCTTAGCCTCAAAGGTGCTACAAAATCTCTCTACATACTGATTCTACAGACTAACACGGCTATATCTTTGGATTCATACAAAAATAAGTATATTAAAATAGGATTAAATTACTGCAATAATTGAAACAATTTACATGTTAAAATATCAAACAGATTAAAAAGATAAAAATGTCTCTAATAACTTTTAAACTTTGTATCTACATTTTAATACTTTTTTGGGTACTGTTTTTAAGTTGCACTGTTTCGAGTTTTGTTAGCCGCCTTGAGTCGCTACACTGGGAGAAAGGCGGCATATGAAAAAGAAGAAATAATAATAATAATAATAATAATAATAATAATAATAATAATAATAATAATAATAATAATAATAATAATAATAATAATAATAATAATAATAATAATTCAGCAGCAGGAGAAGGAGGTTGATGTTAAAGACTTAAATCAAGGATTTCTCCTTGACTAATATTGTCAAATTGTCCATTTCAGCAAATTTTATATTATAATAATAGAAAGCAGAAGGAGGAGGAGGAGGAGGAGGGAGACTGCTGGGCTACGTCACGGCTCTTCCAACCAAACAGGAAAAACCGTTACTCATGACGTCACCCGTCCCAACCGTCGACGCGTTCTGAGGTAAACTCTTCCTTCCCCCTCCCCCCCGCTGAGTAAACGGCCCGCACTCGCCCGCCCCCTCCTTAACGCTGATTAGCCACCTTCAGGATTCCATCGGGCTCCTATTGGCGCGCCCTCCCACCAATCACCAGGAAGTGCAGAGGCCCCGCCTCTCAGGGCCTGGGCCCTTCCTCGGCCAGCCCTGCGTGGAGTGACCGCCGCAGCGGCGCCCAAAGCCTGAGGGGGAGAATAAAAATAATACTCCGCTCGCCCAGCGCCCCTTTCCCGGCTCCGTCAGGGGAGCCTCGGCCTCCGCCATTTTGCCAGGGCGCAGGGAAGAAGGGAAGTGGTCGGACCCACCTGGACCGTCCCGGCCCCGCGAGGAGGCCGCGTCCCCCCGTCCGGGGGAGGGGCGGGGACGGCGTCGCGACTATCGCCCCCTCTCTCGATTTTGGCGGGAATCGCGCCGAGGCGGGAAGGGTGGGCGGTTGTTGTTGTTGCCGGGTTTCCTGGTCGCCACGACTACGGTGGCTATGGCGCCCTCCGTGTTCCCTCACCGGGGCAACTGTTGCTACCCACTTCGGCGAGGGGAGGGGGAAAGGGGCGGTGCCCGACGCGGATTGGGCGGCCTCGACTCTCCACTGGGCAGCGGCACTGTCAGTCATCCGTCGGCCCTGCCTCCTCCTTATTGGTTGTAAGCCACACCCCACGCTGAACGCTTCCGCCTTTCCATTGGCCAATCCGGCATTCCGCTCTTCCGATTCGCGCAGGAAGCTGCCTGTCTGGCGGAATAGTGTGCCTTAAAGACAGACAGGGGCGGATTGGTAGCTGGCAAGTTATAACTGGACGGAGGGCTAGTCGTTGAATTCTGGGGAGACTCCCCTTCCACAGTCGAGTGGGGCGCATGCGCCTTATGGAGGAATGCTGGGAAATGTAGTTCAAATGCAGCAGGAGCGTTTCTGTGCTGAATAAGCCGCTAGGTGGCGCATGTGCTCGATAGGTAGCGCCGTTGCTGGTGGACTCCCTCAGATCATAGAGTCTAAAGAGCTAGAAGGGGCCGCATGGGAAGCCTATGCCATGCAGGAGTGTGGTGTGCCTTCAAGTCATTTCAGACTTATGGCGACCCTAAAGGGACTCTGTAATGGGGTTTTTATGGGAAGTCTCTCCAGAGGAGGTTTGCCATTGCCATCCTCTGAGGCTGAGAGAGTGTGACTAGCCTAAGGTCACCCAGCATATACCTGTGGGACCTTTGGTTGGGAGTAAGTGGTTTTTTTACATGTTAATGGTGGAGTTAGTTTGTATGTTCCCCGCAGACAATGGATTACTAATTAAATGGAGACAAATTCCCCTTGCATATCCCCCACAACACATCTCCAGGCTTCGCCATTCAGCACAGAACAACACACAAACTAACTCCACCATTAACAGCAAGCCACTTCCTCCCAAACAAGGGCCCCACAGGTATATATATACCCCACACGCTTCCATGCCATCACCCTCTGAAGATACCAGCCATAGATGCAGAGGCTTAAAAAACCCACAGAAAACTATGATATAAATGTAAAATAATAAATCAAGATAAGAGAACTATCCGTGACAGTTTTGGGCAAAACGTCAGGAATAAATTCTTCCAGAGCACTGCCACACAGCATGAAAAACCCACAGAAAACTATGGGAGGTTGCAGACTGCCAGAAATAGTGCAAATTGAGTCCACTTTTAGGGTTAGGGTTAGAGTTAGGGAATCATGGGAACTGTATTTTATTGTGGCACCAGAGCTCTCTGACAGAGAAGGCTCAATGTCTCAGGAAAAAAAAACAATTCCCATGATTCCCTAGCACTAACCCTAACCCTAAAAGTGGACTCAATTTGCACTATTTCTGGCAGTCTGCAACCCCCCTATATATGCCAGCTGTGACAGCCTTCGACTTCACATTACATTTATATCCCCTCTTTGCTCTGCTAAGCTCAGGGTGGTGGTGTAGCCACTCTTCCACACTTCATCTTCGCAACAAACAGCCCTGTGAGGTAGGTCAGGCTGAAAGGGCATGACTGGCTCCACATAATTCAATGGTCTCTCCAGTCCTGGTCCAACACTCTGACTGTGACACGACACAAGCTCTCAGTGATTGTCTCACTGACGCTTGGTCTCTCACCACAAAGACGAAAAGGACTGTTCAATCCCTGGTGGAAAAATTGGTCAAACATAGCAGTCAGCTGAGGATGGATGGTCACTGCCTCCCTTCTCCCACACTTTCATGAGCTTCAGTCTAGCCCTGAGCATGGGACTTAAAAGCTGACGGAAAGTGGGGGTGCACAGGGGTTGAATTGCAAACAAGCACATTATTTGAGACTCCCGCTTAGATGATTTACAAATTAATGCAAAAATGTTACCTCAGCAATTCCCTGCATTTCAGGAGAAATGGGTATAATGCTTACTGGCAAGCAAAATGTGCCACTAGCTGAGGGGATTTCATGTCAAGGCACAAGTGTGCAAGAGAGGAGATCCTTGATGATTTTTACCCTGCCTCTTAGCATTTCTTTCATCAAAGCCATTTTGTCATCTACGCTAGTGAATAGCATGCAGTGTCTGCCCATATTACCAGCAAACCAGCATTGAGGATGATAGGATTAGTAGTCCAGTCATATGTGTAGAGCCACTCTCCTTTCCCACCACTTTTGTCTTTATTGGACTTTAAACATGACTTTATGGTATGAATTTCTAGCTGAGCTTCTGTGGTTTTCAGTAAACATACCCCCAACTCTCTTGACTTTCCTTTTTTAACTTCCTTTTTACCAGCTCTCTCACGTTAAACATGCTTCCTTTTTTGAATGTCCAGTATGACTGTGTTGGACTTCCTTTTCTACTTGTATAAATTTGTATAAATACATTAAATTTGATAACACTGTAATCAATGCTTCCAAGAATTTAACTCTTTTCATCAGTGTTCATACCTCTCGGTTGTAGGTGGTACCACTGAGGATTAAATAGTTGACTCCCTTAAGTTTAATGCCATGTTCTATGGTGCAGTCATGTAGGGTTTCTAAAAAATGTGCTTTTTTATGACCACAATATACATCCAACCAGTTGATGAGAGTTTAACTGAAATCACCCAGTATCAGAAAATTTTCACCTTTGGCTGCTTCCTAGATTTCATTCTCCACTTCAAAATCACTCGGCCATTTTGGTCAGGGGGATGACAGCAATCCTAAATCACTCTGTGGGGCTGCTGTTCTCATCCACAGTGATTCTCTGGGGAAATCAACCCCATTTTTTAGATTTCTAGTTTGCTCAGCACTATGCCATCTGTGGCATACAGAGCAGCCCCCAACATTCTCATCCCTATTATTTCTATAGAGCTTGTAGTCAGAGATTACCATTATCTCACATATCAATTCTACAAAATTTCCATTAGCATGGCTTAGTGGTTTGAGCATTGGTCTACGACTCTGGAGACAAAGGTTCGATTCCCACTCGATCATAAAACCCACTGGATGACCTTGGGAAGGTAACATACTCTCAGCCTCAGGGAAAGGCAATGGCACAAATCTCCGAAAAGATCTTGCCAAAACAACAACAGCACCATGATAGGTTTGCCTTAGGGTCACCATAAGTTGGAAATGACTTGAAGGTATGCAGCACGCATGCTATGGCCTTGTTTGCACTGGCCAGGATACCTCAGGGACAACCCGCAGTATGCTGACCCCACAGCCGACCCATTGTGCAGCTGTTATTTTGGCCTACGTTGCTGTGCTGCAGCAACTGTCTGCACAAGCGTCCTGCTGGGCCACCTGGCACATTGGCTGTCGTGGGTCACTCGCTTCTGAGTTCAGAATGAGGTGCCCAAGTTCCCAGAAGATCTGGAGTAATGAGTAAAGGGCTATTTTAGCTTGTATCAACCTTGTTATGCCCCACTTCTGGTGCAGTATATACCAGATGCCATCCAGACTGCCCACACCAAAACCAGGATTTGGGCCGTGTGTCGGCCAAACAGAGGAG